GACCGGGACAGCTGGAAGCGGTCAAAGACGGCGCTACGGCGCTGAGTGGAGGCGGCGACACGGGAGGGAAAATTTCGCTTGCGCCAAACCGTTTTCCAGATGCAGTGCGCTCGCTGGCTTGGTTTAGAGCATGCATGCTCGGTAAACTATGGCGATCGAGGGTGAGATGTCAATTCTACTAGAGTGACCTTTTCAGCCAAAATCGTCACAATGATGGTTATTTATACCGGCCGGGCCGATATGGCGACTTTGCTGGAGTTGCTTTTATAGATTGACTAGCTCAAGCCAATTGCTCACACATTCGTTCAACATTTACGGTGAAACACAATCAAGAAAAAAAGATGTATCGTTTGCCAATCGTTGAATGCAATTACATTTACATTGCCTGGCATGGGAGCATACTACGCAAAGAATAGTCTTCTAAGTGTAAAACAGCCATGTACATGAATCCGTTAAATTCTACTACTACGCAAACAAAAACAAAAGGTTAAATTCTACGAAATCAGCATTCCAAATCTGCAAGCCTTATCCTCTTGCCTCTCGACCTCGTGTCAAGCTTTATAGAGCATACCTAGATTGCCTGCAAGAAGATCACTGTTCTGAGTCCTGACTTCAGACACAAGCTTGCACATGTTAGTTGGAAACTACTCCCTCCGTTTCAAAATAGATGACTCAACTTTGTACTAACTTTATATCAGTCGACAAATACCTTGCATATAGTTGCAGACTCAATCCCTTCCCGGAGCACTATGTCGGTGTAGTTAGTTGCTATCCTGCAATCGAGCGTAAACTGCAGTAGAAAAATACCACTACATTTAGACAAACTGAAGTTCAGAAGAGCATATACTACAATAGAACAACAAAAGAACTTCTGAACATACCTGAATAGCTTTGTCAGAGGGAAATTCATGATGTGCGTGGTGGCGTCGATGCTCCCGGCGATCCTGATCTCGACGAGCTTCCTCTGCGCCGACAGCTCGCTGACGACGAGCCGGCTGACGTTGGACTCCTCGAACACGGCGTGCATGAGCACCATCACGATGCTGCTCCGCGGCGGCTGGTAGAACACCGGCACGTCCATGGCGCCGACCGACTCGGTCGCGTAGGGGCAGGGCCACGCCGAGGTCCGCCCCGCTGTACCTTATCCCGATCCCGTTCAGGTTCTGCGCCGCGAACAGCAGCGACGCCACCAAGCACGAGGACGACGACGTCGCGTTGTCGCCGCTGCGGTTCGAAGACGCCGGTCTGAGGCTGAACGACCTGTCCATCTGCACGGACTGCAGGTAGAAGGTCGGCTTCTTGAGCCTCGTGACGAAGACGACGAGCAGCACGGCCGCGACGAGGACGAGGACGATCAGCGAGAGCAGCAGGTAGAGGCAGAGGCATTTGGCAGAGTGAGGAGGTAGGCAGTGGCCATGGCAGCTCTCCTTGCAGCCGTAGCCTCCTCTCCTCCTGCTGCTACTGCTGGTCACGACAGGATCCATGGAAATATTGTGTGCGTTGATCGAAACAGTTGGCCAGCGTGATCAGGAGGCATGGATGAGACGAGTGAGATGAATATGAGGGTGTTTGTTTGCAGGACTTATTGGTTTAGGGACTTAAAAAAGTCCCTATAAGTTCCATCTAAATCAAACAGGAGGGACTTATAGAGACTTAAAGTGGGCATTTGGGACTTATAAAATAAGACTCTCAAGGAGAGTTTTATAGGGACTTATAGTTGTAATATGGTTTTATAGGGACTTATAAGTCCCAGGAACCAAACAGGTAGGAACTTTTTAGAGACTTGAGACTTATAAGTTGGGACTAAAAAAAGTCCTAGGACTTATAAACCAAACAGGACCTATATATGTTATTGTTTTGCACGAAGCGAGAGGGAAAGCCTGTCGAGTTCTCCTTGGTCGCAAGCCTCGTGCAATACTTGGGCTTGCCTTTATTCCTTTTTTGAAAAGTTTGTTGGCGCAGCCCTAGCCTACCTCGCTCTCTCGCTCTTTGGACGAAGGTAGAAGAAGCACAACAGTTTTTCGGCGATGAACCCCGCGGCGACGAAGGCCTGTATCTTGGCCTTTTATTCACTGGACTCGGCTTGAACACATACATGGAGACTCTCGAGCGCCCATACGCTCCGGGCTACATCTCTCTCAAGCCACACTCCATGGCACTGCATTCTGGCCCCTTATATAGGCAAGACCTGTGCGTAAGCCACTAACACCACCTAGCACTCACGCACGCTCACAGGCAACTACCTGATCCTATTTCTACTACCACTAACTCACGCCCTACATGCACGCACTAACAGCAAGAACCGCACGACCACCACGCACGGCCACCATGCAAGTCCACTTCCAACGCATCCGTAGCATGCTCTCAACGGCCGTACGACCCGGCCGTTCAGCTAACTACATGCAGCTCCGGCCCACGCGCTGCCTCCAACAGACCGCAACAACCCCTGTGCATGCAGCTCCTTCATGACACAGACGCGAGAACGAACTCCGGCCGGCACACACCCCCGTGTCCAGCACGAACCAGACCTGGCGCGCCGACGCCGGTCACCACCACACGGGCATGGACATGGCTTATTGCCAACAAAGTTTGCGTGAATTTGAGCTTCTTCATGGAGAAGATGGAGATCACTTGGAGAGGTGACTCGCGGCCGGATACTACTCTTGATCGTTAAGTGTAACTTGGCAGAGAGTATATAATCTACAACTAGGCCTCCTAGACATTCTATTTGACCGAACCGATCACGTTCGGTTTCTCCGTATGCAAAGAAATTTGATCTTTGAAAATTGTTGTGCTGTCGGTTTTTTGATAAATCAAGATCCGATTTTTAACCAGATCTTTTTGTCCGGTTATTGGTTTTAACCGAACAGAACCGAAGTAGACTAACAGCACAACAACTAACAAAGTTTTGAAAAACAATTGCCAGCACTTCCATGTTTTTCATCACTTTTCACAAGTAATAGTAGCAACATAGTGATAGTATCACTGCATCAATTTATCTTTTTACAAACAATAACAACAAAATAATACTAGAATCATCATATCATCATGGGGTTAGGTCCTTTTTAGTTTCTCCAGGTTTCACATTAATTCGGGTACCGGAGGGTGTGAGCCGAATTTTCCGAACTAAATTTGCTTCTCCAAAAATGATGAGTTTGAAAGCAATTTTTATTTTTGTTTCAATCTTTCGGTCTGGAACTTTGGTTCTTCGTAAATATACCTGCACCCCATGTACTCCCTCTCTTTCTAAATATAAGCCTTTTTAGAGATTTCAACGCACACTACATATTGCTCGGTATGTAGTCTGTACTTCTCTAAAAGGGCTTATATTTAGAAACGAAGGGAGTACAACACATGTGGATTACTAAGGCTTGAAACAGTAAAGGTAGAGGAAATAAAAAAAGATCTATTTGTAAGATCTTGGCGTCATAAAAATATGAAAGAAAAGGGTCGCAAATGAAAGGAATGCTTTTAAACCTATACTAGTACAAATGCCCGTGCGTTGCACCGGGCAAAATATTAAATATAACTTGCTCAATGTGCCATTATGAAACACATTGTTTTTGGGCTTGGCCCAAACAGAAGGAAAGATCTCCTCTCCCACTCACTCCCCTGATTTTCATATCCCCATTGTTGCTGATGTCGGCGGTGGAGGCGACAAGTGATTTCAGATCCGACCAACTTGTTCCGGTGGGCGTCGTTCGACAGCAGGTCCTCTCCATCCCCTCCCCTCCGGCTATCCCCTTCGTGTACATCCCTCTAGGCCTAAGCTTGCCTGCGCCCCACGGCTCGTCCGCAGCGCCGCCCCTGCTCGGATTCGTTCCTCCCCAAGCGTCGCCGAAGCCCGGCACTGCCCCGCCGTTGACCTTCAGCTCCGCTGCGCTCTGTCGAATCAGGTGTGTTGATTTTCTATCTGTTGGGGTTGCTAATTCTTACATGGCATTTGGTTTGCTTTCATGAGCATATATGTTCAGAGTTTGGCGCAAGTATCTGTGTCGGCCGGTTTAGTTTCGGTGGCCCGCGCGAGGTTTAGGGAGTGATTTGCTAGTCATCATCACGTGTGGATACGTTTCCGGCCAGTTATGCAAAATAATGTGCGCAAGCCGTGATCTGAGCGTGCCATGCGCGTCTAGTCCAACCCGAGGTCGAGCTCGGCGCCGGGCTTCGTGGTCATGGATGACACAATCGAGCATGCGAGGACGAGGCATGGTGCAAAGACCGGATCCTCCAGTTTATTTCGAAAAGAATAAATGATAGCAAAGAAGAAACAGAAAAGCTGTAACAGTTACACGGAGCAAAATCCCGTGTTCTTGAGTATATTCTTCCTCCATGGTGCAGAAAAGCTAGCCATGATGGGTCACACAGGAAGAGAGAGAGAGAAAAGCCCATGCACATGCAATGGCTCGCATCCCCATGGACCAGCGAGGATACTGATTTGCGTTACGCGCTCAACTGGTTAGAATTCGCCTTATTCGGCCATGGTGGTATTTCCTAAGTGGAAATTTGTTGCTGTTTTGAATCATGAGTTGGGACAGTTCAATTATAATAGTAACATAAACAAGATTATATTTAATATACTCTGTCTAAATTGATCCAGTTTAGCAAACTGGTTGGGAAATATTATAGTGGGCAAACATGTGGCAAGAAAAGACAGAAAAGAGATATGAAAATAGCGGCAGTTCACTTCTTGAGGTAGTATCTCGTGAACTGAAGGATTAGAAGGCGGCGTGCTGTCCACGCTGGATTCCGTCCTGACGTATCTCGTGCAGAATCACGGCGAGCGCCAGGATGAAAGCATGGTCCACGCCCGGGCTGACACTCACGGAGAAAGCCAGCCCCTCGAACAGGAACAGCCCCGTCGTGCGCTTGATCGTGGCAACGGCGGCGCCGCCGTCGGAGCGGCCGCGGGAGACTGTCCACTCGCGCCCGCATGAACTGAGTCGGATCACGAAGTCCGGGTTCTTCTCGCTGCGGTCGCCGCCGGCGAGGTGGACGTGGACCTCTCTGATGACGAACAGCCAGGGCTGCACCACGGCGGAGAAGAGCAGATCCCTCGGCCTGCTGCCGTCCCCCTTGAACGCCTCCCACCTCCGGCCGAGCGTGAACAGGGTCGGCGAGCGCTCCGTGGTGACCAAAGGCCGGCGCGATGCGGCGTCGACGAGGATGGAGCGACGGACAAAGGTGAACGGGGGGGCGTCCACCTTCATCACCGCCGCGCCGCTGGCGTCCGTGATGGTGAAGTCGCGGAACCAGCTCTTCGTCTTGGTCAAGGTGAACTCCGTCGCGTGCGGCGCGCAGAACCGCGCGTCCACCACAGCTCCCGTCCTCGCTGCCATTGCCTGCCGCAACAGATCGGTGGGTGCTCGATCGACTGCCCTCTGCTCCTGACCGGATCCACGTACACGTATCGTGAGGCGAGACAGCCCGCAACATATTGCCGAGGCCAACGTACACGTATCGTACGTGCATCTCAAGGACTAGTATTTATTTAATTTCCTTGTTGTACAAGATACTAGTATTTCCCCTGGCTGGCATATTGCAGTACGCGCTTGCCAAATTAATTCTAACACCAACTTACACAAATTAATTCTAACATTTAGTGATGGAGGAATTCATGATCATTCTTGCATCGGCATACAAAGAGTCCAGATTTATGGTCAACATCTTGGCGTCCTCCGCATCGATAGCGATCTTCAACTTTTTTTTTCTTGAGCGCGACCTTTCTCTTTTCGATCATGGTTCTCCTCTCTTCGAGCTTGACCTTCTTTTCCGTCGCCTCCATCAACAATGCGAAACTCTCCGCCTTTCTATCCTCCTTGAGGTCCGAGCGCTTCATGCATGCCTTCTCCTTCTTCGACAAGATGTCCTCGAACCTCTCCGTCAGCTTGGCCGCCACACCTTCCACTTCGCCCTCTCCTCCTCCCACTTCTTTCCCCATAAAAATTTCTAAAATTTCAACCAACAATGCATGATGGTGAAGTTTTTTCTCTCCGGCTTTTTGTACACAAAACAAGCACCAAAAGGCTACAAAATAATGCATGTTCGGCTAGTGAGTAACAAAACAAATGCATGTCCGGCAAGTGCACAAAAGAATGCATGTTCGGCTAGTGATCACTTTACTTGCTCGATGACTTATGCACCCCTAGGCCACCATGCAATGAGACGCTTCAAGTGCCTGCAATACTTGGACACGGCTTTTTGGATGGTGTACCATTGATGGTTGAGGGATTTTCATTCACGGATGTGGATGACCGCGTCGGTGTAGGGCGCGAAATGCTTATATTCAGGAAACCATATATGAATGTTGTTCCAAAAGGTTGTGCCCTTTTGCTCCATGCCATGGATAGGATCAAGACTAGTGGACAACCATGCATCATACAACAGCTCGTCCTCCTGCATGTTGAAGCTTTCTCATCTACCCTTCTTCTTCGGATCTCCAGTTGTATTAGCCGGATCATCGTCTCGCCATCCTCCCTCTCCTCCTCGTCCCTCTCCTTGTTGTTGTTGCGTCTGGGTGTAGGGCTGCTGCACGCCCGTTTGGCTGTAGAACTGTTGCGCGCCCATCTAGGTGTAGGATCTGGGTGTAGGACTACTGCACCCTGTCTGGGTGGGATCCAAGTTATCCACCTGCCCGTCCTCACAGCCCGTGCCGAGGCCAACGTACACGTATCATACATGTATCTCAAGGATTAGTATTTACTGTAATTTGTGCTTCAAAATATCCATGGTTTTTAATCTGATCTATGTTTATTCTGCTCAGATAGTTTTCCACAATAGAACCTTGCATCGAAATATTGATTCTTAAGCATCCAATGTTTCTGTATATGTACTTAGAAGTAGTGGAGAAGCTTCTTTATAATGCTAGTTGTTCCTTCCTACTCCCTCCGTCCGAAAATACTTGTCATCAAAATGAATAAAAAGGAATATATCTAGAACTAAAATACGTCTAGATACATTTTTTTTTGTTTATATTGATGACAAGTATTTCCGGACGGAGCGAGTACCTTATATTCTTATGCATCATGCCTAAACCTTTAATGCTTCAAAGGTATTCAAATGATTCCGACGCCGGCCCGGTGACATGTTCGCCAGGGGGACCAAGGAGCTCAAGGGTAGGGGACAGTGGCATGCAGAAGGGTCATGACAGCAAGCAGCCGAATCAGCAATTATAACTGGTGGCATTGGTGATGGAGATCTAGGGTGCCATGAGAGCCCAGCTGAAGATGATGGGCCTGCTTGTTTCCTATCGCTTGGAAATAACAAGCGCCGCGGCTGCATGTTCACCCCCTCCTTCATTGCATTGCTCCCACTCTTATCAATCTGGGCGATGGGCGGGGCGACTAGGGACGGGTCTCGCGACCACGGCGCCGGCGGCGACCGGCGAGTCGGAGGACGGTTCTGGGCGCTAGTGGAGAGTGACGAGGAGGAGGACGAAGACGACGGCCGGCATCTTGACGCCGGTTCGCCGGAGACGGCGTCACCTACGCCTTCAGATCACATTTGCGAGGCTTTCAAGATTGGATATTCTGAGGATGAGGTTGCGCTGTTGGTAGATGTTGCGATCCCGCACGACGATCCGGCGAGGACTGGACTGGAGAAGACGGAGAGGATCGAGATCGTTCGGCAAGTCGTGCACCGGAGGACGGCGGCAACGGCGATCCGGCCATGGCGTGGCCCTCTTCCAAAGGTACGTCTTCCGGCCCTTATGTTCGGTGATTTTCTCGGTTCGGAATGGAAAGTTGTGCCCAGTCGCCGGAAGAAGGGCCGGCGGCCGGAGCCGACGGTGGTGCAGCAGTCCGGTGAGATCCCGATCGGGGTAGCCAGGCGGCTGCGTTTGAATTCGTTGATGGGCTTGGCTGGGCCGGGAGATCAGGACGATGGGTGTGAGGCCCATCGGGTGGCATCTTCGTGTGGGCCAGAGTTAGCCGGGTATGAGGCCCAGGCTAACGCGGTCTCCACAGGCTCTGCGGGCGACGAGGCAAATGGCCTTTGCATGCGTACGTGCCATCGTGTTTCGTCGTGCGTCCTGTCTCCGCCGACGCTGTGCCCTAGGTTTAGGCGTTGCGAGGGTTCAGCAGGTTTCCGTTGCTGTGGTCCAGGCCGAGCGACTCGGATCCCTCCCCTGATGGCGGGACGGGGGGATGCTGCAGCCTCCGGCCCCAACATGCAGGCGCTCGCCGGAGTGACACCAGCGGCCCTTGGAGGCGGTGTTCCACAAGGCCAGCGACCGGTGCTGCCGGCTGGCCGTGGTGCGCCAAAGGGGCCGCGACCTACGGCTGCGGCCGGCCGAGGCACCCCGCCAGGGCCGAGACCTGCGCAGGCTGTGGGGGCCGTGCCAGCCGCCGGGCGCGGTGCTCAAGGTCTCCGGCCGCCGGCGCCGGCTACTTCTCTGCCGATGGCTGTGTGGCGTGGTGCTCAAGGACTCCGGCCGCTGGCGCCGGCTGCTACTCTGCCGATGGCTGTGGGGCGCGGTGCTGCTCCGCCGAGGCCGCCGCCGACTGCGCTTGTGGCTGCGCCCCGAGGTCAATGGGGGGATGACGGCTACGATGCTTATGGGACTGGCCAGCACCATGGCTCTTCGTCCACGGGTGGCGGTCGTGGTTATGCTTGGCAAAGTGATGGGTCAGTTGAGAGGCCATTCTTGGGTCCTTCAGGCGGCTTCGTTGAGGGGCCTTCTGATCCGGGTCATCGGCAGCGAGGAGGTTTCCGAGGCCATCGTGGTGGTCGGGCGGCCGGGGGGGCCGGTGCCGTCCACGTCCTCCGCCACCACCTATTGTTGTCGACCAGATGACAGTTGACGGGACTGCCGAGGAGCCTGTACTGACCGGTCACGCTATGGAGGTGGTGACGGCTCTTGCTACTGTTCAGGTTCCTGAGAACGAGGTTATGACCGATGTGTCTGCGGAGTTGACAGATAGGGCTGAGGCTGATAGGGCGTCCAAGTGGGCGCGCAGGAAGGAAAAGATGCTTTGTTATTGTTGCGGCGACAAGGGCCACTTCATTGCAGAGTGTGTGGCTCTGTTATGTGATACCTGCGGTAAACTGGCACACGACTCTGGGGAGTGTCCGTTACTGCGAGATCAGGCACCGTCACTCATGATGTATGGAGTTTACTGTGCTGAGCTAATTTTTTTCGAATCTCCGAATCAGCGAGAGGTTTCTGATGAGTCCACAAGTATGACCACGGGGATTGTCAAGGTCACCAGAGGGGAGGTGTCTGAGACACAGATCGTGGAGAGGCTCCGAGAGTTGGCCCCTGGGGATTTCCAGTGGGACCTTGTCAGTCTCGCTGATAAGATGTTCAGAGTTGAGTTTCCTTCCGTGGAGGATCTGCAGAGGTTGTTGAGTTTTGGGATGTGTAAGGTGCCGGGAACGGATGGTATCCTTGAGTTTCAGGAGTGGAAGTAGGTTGAGCCTCGGGGCAAGCCGCTTACTCAGGCGTGGTTGCAATTTTCCGGGGCTCCCTCCAAGTCACTGTAGGATGCTCGGGTTGTGGCCAGCATGGGCATTTTAGTGGGGAAGCCTGAGTGTGTGGACATGGAGTTCACCAGAGCTCACGGGATTGCTCGGGTTCTGGTCCGTATTTTGAACATTGAGTATGTGCCGGACGTGGTTAAGTGGGCTTATCGAGGCAGGATTTATGATCTGGTTATTGAGTTTGAGGATGAGAGCCTTTTGGTTGCGCCGGCTCATGAGTCTAACGTGGATATGCACGAGGGTGATGGCAGCGTGGCAGCACGGGAGCCGCCGGTCGAGGACTCTGGACGACAGCTGTCCAAGGGGCCGGGGTCCGAGACCGCGACGACCGGGGATGGAGCAGCCCCACCCTCCTCGGTGCCTTCGACGACTCTGAGATTTGGGTCTTTCGAGCCCTCTTCTGCACCTCCGAGGCTGTGGAGTGATCGGGTCGAGTCCGAGGAGGCTTTTGAGCTCAAGTTGCCTGCTTTGGGGTTTGAGGGTGCTGTGGATACCATTCCTGGGGATCTTGGGGTTTCATCGATCTCGATTTGGGGGGAGGAGGAGGTGAGTCGGCAGGTGGCCACTCCCTCTCGTGCTCAGCACACGGTACCTCCTCAGGAGGTGACGTAGCTTGTCGTGCCTGGCTTGTCGGGTGGAGCCCTGGGGCAGGCGGCCTCGGGTTGCTCTCCTACTGCTGAGGAAGGGGATTCGGGGCAGGTGGCTCCCGTGTCCTTTTCTTTGTTGGGAGTGAAGGAAATATGCCCTAGAGGCAATAATAAAGTTATTATTTATTTCCTTATTTCTTGATAAATGTTTATTATTCATGCTAGAATTGTATTAACCGGAAACATGATACATGTGTGAATACATAGACAAA